GGATTTAAATATAAATTTTTATAATTTATTTTTGTTTAATAGTTATGATTTCATTGAATTCTAATAACAAGAAATAGATTAAAGAAGATTTTTTGATTTACTTTTTTCACTTTATGTTAATTCAAGAATATTATTAATTTTTAGGATAGTTGTGTAAAAACCCCATTCGATCATTAATACTGAAAAAGTTCTTATTGTAACTTAAGAAGAAAATGATGAGAGAGGTACAATTAATCCCTTGGGATTAATTATCTAGCCTGCTGCAGAAAATTTAGTAGGCTTTTCTTTATCTGTCACTTTAAGATTAATGAAAACCTTTGTCTGCAACTGCTGTTTGTTTGAAGTTAAGGTCAAGCCTTCATGATATTTGCATTCATTGAAGGCTGGCATTTTATATAACACAAGCTTCATAATTGTTTAAATATACATTCAATTTTAAGTTGTTCTTTACTGCCTAATGTAAATACAAGGATATCATTTTCAGGTTTTTGAATATTCAGGAATTATCTTGAAATTTTAAGAATACAGTTGCTGTTGCTTATTCTTCGTACATTTTTCAATCATTCCGTAAGCTGCACCCTATTAATTCTACCTTATGGCGGGGCCCTTGCTGACTGGTCAGTTTTCTAGTTTATGTAGTTAGAAGTACTTTTATCTGTGGGGTACTTTGTACAACCCTCACTTGATTTTAACTGTTGACCTAAGCATAACCAAAGGATTGCATTTGACATGTCTCATCTGTCTTAAAGGTAGATTAAGTTTTTAAAGAAAATCAAAATAGATTGCAAATAATAAATAAATAAATAAGTGAATAAAAAATGGATGAATAAATTAATCATGTAATCATTCAGTCAATCGGTCTTTGGATACATAAAACTCAAATCAATTCTATTTTATATTTGTATCAAATAGAGAATCTGGCTGTTGGAAAAAAGTAGCAAAGACCCTATTGAAATTTTAAACAATGGATAGATTTATTCAACAAGGTATTTTTTTATTTTAAAAATAGTAAAAATGGTAAGTCATACTCTTAGTTAAAGGACAAAGAGAACACATGCATTGTTCAAAATTCATTCTTTCAACTTAAAATATCTAAAAGGTTGCCACTATTAAAAGCAAAATTCTGTTTTTGGAAGTGTTCAGTCATCTTGTGATTTGAAATGTGGTAGAAATAGATAATAAATGAAAAGAGCTTTATATGGTTTGAGATAATAGAAAAAAAAAGTTGATTGTTCATTAAGTATTCAGTTGTTCATCCATGATGAAAATAGAGTCTTTGAATTTACTGTTGACAATATTGGATCTGTTTTTCTCTCTTTATATATATAACAAGAAGGCCAATGTTTTTGTATACTTACATAATATAAATGTGCAGTTTGTTTCTTGGAGAGTCAAATATATATAAATTTGTTTCAGTCCTATTTGTATATAGTTTTACGGTCGCTTCATGCATATGGCCCTGCAATGCTCTAGGAATTGAATGGCTCTCTTTCCATTTGAGGACGTCAATATGCAGCTTTGTGTTCTTGATGTGGAAAGCAGTTGATCCTTGACTCGCCTGTAATAATAAGTTCTGTATGAAGTATTACAGATGGGAATTATATAGTCTGATGAAGAGGAACAAAAAATTGATATCCAAGTGATGGATAATTTATCACCCTAAAACATGGAATCTATAGCTGTCTCCTACATTATGGAATTGTTTTTTTTTTTTTTTTTAAATTAATATTAGTTGGATTCAAGGGAAAGTTTTGAATTGAATTTCTGTGCAATAATTTGTCGTGTGTGAAATTATTGATATGAAGAAAGCATGTTAAAAACTGAAAACTTTTTCTTACGAAGATTCCTGTGTTGTTTTCGACAATTTGGTCATTCCCATGCCTCCAAAACAGAGGAGGCACAAGGTAAATTAATTTAGTTAATTAATTGCCAGAGCTCATCAATAATCTGATAAAAGGTTCAACCTGGACTCGATTCAATTTGCATGTTTAATCAGGTGTGCATCCAATATTGATGGTGATGTTAGTGTGACAGTACAAATTTGTTTGTTCTTAATTCTTCATGAAGTCTCTCTATTTTCATGATTGTAAGTCTGTTTGCAACATGGAAAATTGACCATTAATTTTCATCACATATATTTTGATTGATTAAAATGATAAAGAGGAAAATATGTTGAATTGGTAATATTATATACTTCAATTTTAGATACACCTTGTGTAGATGCATCAAAAGCAAGACATCAATAAATATTTGATGCAACTTACTTTGAAAAATTCATTCATTTTGGTTTTAATAATATCTGAAAAAATTAACACCCAACACCCCCCCCCCCCCCCCCCCCCCCCCCCCCCCCAAAAAACCTCGGCGGGGGGGGGGTAGATATTCATTGATGGAAAGTGATGAATAATTCATTTATATGTTTGATTTGATCAATTGAAATAATCCAGAGAGTCATTGAGGAGTAGAAGTTTTTAGTCTCCAGATTGTGGAATCAAGCCATGGCATAATATACACTTTTGATTTGTTTTCTCTCTGTATTTCCTAGCTGAGTCTGTGGTTTGTTATATAAAGTTTTGCTAGACAAAATTTCATCAATAAAGGAATCCCTATTTCGGAAAAAGATATATAAGATGTAAAGAAAAAAAAATGCATTAAGACACTGAATAACAAAGGACTACTTTTTTAATACTCACCAAGAGAGATTGGCATTACAATAAAATATTGCTTATATACTACTAATGATTTCTGCCAATATAGTGATGAATGCATTGTATGTTTACCAGACAGCTGCCCAAGCAATGCTTATATTTTACTGTCATTGAGGACATCCAGAGCATGTAATTGAGAACCCTGGAGTCTGCAGTCCTGATATTGATCACCAGGGGCCTCACTTCCCCCCTCTGGCCTGTGGTGATGACTTTGAAATAAACATTCTTTTGGCACCAACATTGTTATTTTCTTGACAGGTGTCATTTGCATTCTTCCTGTATTGTGTATATTTCTAAAAATTGATTGTGTTTTATGTCTGCTTGCTGCAGAGACAGAATATTCGATCATTGGGATTGTGCGCAAATCATTTTAATGACATCAGAATCACAAATTTTTTTAGTTTTTAAAATTAGATATATTATTATATAAATTGATGTTTTATGCAGTATATTGTCTTTTTGGATCATCTGGATTGCTAAAAAAGGTTTTTAATCATGTTAATGATATTAGATTCACAATTTATAGCTAAAAAATTTGACCTCAAATCAGTTGATATTTTATACAGTATGGTGTCTTCATAATATGTCTTCTTTATTTTGAAAGTATGTCTTGTTTTCCAGATATTTTGAACAGTTGAATTTCATTTCAAGATCAGTCATGACATATCTTTACTAATAATATAAATGAAATCACTGATTCATAAAAGGTTTGTCAGGATACAGTCCATATAGTATCAAGTTGATTCTAACCACAGAGATGTAAATTAAAAGAAACTGTAGTACATTGTAATGAATTAAGATTCTTGTTAACAATGATCTATTCATATTTCAGGAGCAAGTAGTGACAGTGAAATATTGGACTCCAGTGGAACAAAGGACGAAGTTAGGAATGGAAAACCTTTATCCAACGGAAGTGTGCAATCAGAGGGAAAAGACAAGAAACATGAGAAAGACAGGGTTGAATTCCCACAAGAATCGGATCAAAGGAAACTTAACCAATTATTTGATGCCTTTAGAGTGCCCAAAACCAAAGAGCTTTCAAGTAAATCTCACTCAACAGTGAGAAAAGTGACATCTAAAAAATATGAGGAATCTGATTCCGATTCAGACTCTTCGGTGTCAACAGACACAGAGAAAAATCAAGAGGAAGTCCGAAAATCTTTGCCCAGCGGGAAAGTGGATAGTGTCGATAGTGCCAGTAAAAATATCTCAGCATCAAGCTCTGGGACAGATATACACAAAAGTAATGTTTCAAAGGATAAAAACTTACAGAGAAACTTTTCTGATGATTCGGTTCAAACACTTGTGTCGGACGAGGTTCCATTTTCGAAAAGTAGCACAGAGACGCAGATTAAAGTAGATGTACATTCTGATGAATCAAACTCACCAACATTGTCAGTAAGTAAACAAAGTGAAGTGAAATCAAAGGTGGTGGAGGATATTGTGAAAAACAGATCACCCAGTCAGAAAAAGACTGCCACAGAGATGATAATGGCCATGAAAAGTACAAGCCCCTCATTAACTCCCAATCAAAACCACCAAAGTAATTCTCACCATGTAGATCCCAGGAGGTATATGCCAGGGAGATCCCCTTCCCCCTACTCTTTTGACAGTATTCCTTCATCCCATGCAAATTCACCTTTACCTGTGAAAAAGAGGGACAGTCACGTTAGTAGAGAATCATCCGACACGGATTCTACGTCTCGGATGAGTACTGCGGATTACAGCGGTACGGAATCCTCTCACGTTCGTGAGAGCAGTAGTGGTGCTGAAGATTATGTGGTAGAAGAACTATCTAAAGTTAGATTTCGACGGATGTCCAAAAATTACGTGGAGAAAAGAAAGACGAAAAGTAAGTCATTTTAGTTTTAAACTCGTGTTGTATTCACTATTGTACTTCTTCACTGTTCATGCTGTTTGGTTCATAAGTGTTTGCTTTTTCAATTTTGATTTTCTACATGTGATGTGATTTTAAACAGTAAGCTGATGCATATATATAACTATTAATTTCCCTGACGTAGTCTGCAACATAGTTAAAAAAAATATGTAAACTAAAATTATGAAGTTAACTTTTAACTTAAGTGCATGTAATGATTATATTTCCTTACAACATTTTGATTTATTATTATTCATTAGCTTCCTTGGGTTTTAAATTTTCTCAATATTATGTGTGAATGTGTGCATGTTTTCATTTCATAGGTCCACCTCCTGGGTGTGATCCCTCTGTTGTAGGTGTAGTGAGAGAGGGGCAGTTGGGCAACTCTCCTGTAGACATATCTAAAAATATTTCCCCTTCTAAGTCCCCCCAAGTATCTCCCCAAAATGTCTCCCAAAAGGTCCCAGATCACCATCAGTTTGTGAGAATATTGGACACGTCTGATTGTGAAGTTCCTTCCAATGTGTCTTCAGATTTATCATTGTTTGACATTGAGAGAGACTGTCACTTGGATCCTGAAGTGTATGATATCAGTGATTTAGCGAAAGTCTCCAGATCCATTCTGACACAGCCGCAGTCAGACTTAGGTCCTCTAGGGAGAAAGAAATCTCCCAGACCACAGAAAAAGGAGAGACAAAAGAGTGCAAGTGTTCAGGAACAGTCTGTGAGTGGAGGTGAAGGAAAATGTGTTAAATTAAAACAAGAACATGTTCACCATATACAAAACACAAACATTAGTTCAAAACAAGAAAAAAATTCTAAGAATTCAAAGTCTAATAATGTGAAACCAAAAGAAGATACGACTGAATCTGCAGTGTCAAAGAAGTTGATCATGTTCAACCCAGATGACCTGGAATCTGACTCCACTGATTCTAACCAGGAAATGGATTTAAAAACAAATCTGAAAACAAATCTTGCAACCAATCAAAATATGGATCTTGTGACCAGTCAGAAAACAGCTCACACAACCAGTCAGAAGACAGATCTACCAACCAATCAGAAAACAGATATTTCAACAGAGAGAAACAAGAATTCTATTACACAGAAACAGGGCCTTCAAAAGGGCAGTGCTCAAGGCCCTAATGAAGAAATCATTTTAGCAAAAGGATTACAAGAAAATGATGAGGGTCAGGAGAAATATCAGGAAGTTGTCAATGAAGATATTGCTCTTGATGATTCTGGTAAACATGACAGCTTTGATTCACTGCTGGAGTCTTCACTCTTTCAGAATTTCAGGTTATCCTCCATTGATGACAGGCAGAATAGGTTTGAATCAATTGAGAGTTTCAATCTTTCTCCTCTGACACCTCTGTCTGACAGCAAGATTGGAACCAAACCACAGACATATACTTTAGCTTTTGTAAATGACAGTGTTTGGACAAATGAAAGCTCAGAAAATGTTGGAACAACTGAAGAAGACTTTGATGAAATCTTCAACAAAGCTGTAACTGATCTAGAATCAAATGAACCAAAAAGAAAACCTGTTCGAAAGAGAAGGAAAAAATCTCTTAGGCCAAGTACTGGCAGCAACAAAGACCTTGAGGAAATTGCAGAAAATGTGGAGGATGGTGTAGAAGAAAGTACTAGAAGCTTCGAAAAGGAATTTGGAGAGCACCATGAATTCCGGTTCTCTGTTGATGAAAGCCCACAGGGCCAGGAACGTAATGGTGAGGAATCAGAAGATTTCAAAGAAGAAGTACAGAAAGCAAAGGAAAGTGAAAGTTTGTCATCTCTGTGGAGGTTTGAGGATGACTCACTGAAAGATGAGTTTCATCAAGTGTTTGGAAGTGTCCAAGAGTCACCACAAAAGCCAACTTATGCACAGAATAGAGCATTCCTTCGAAAAACATTTGCTACATCGACTGATTCTCTGAGCACAGAATCAGATGCACTAAGTGTTATTCAGGAGGAGAATAATAGCAGTGACAATAGCAATGAAGATTTAGAAGTGCATTTGCATGATATTAAAGAGGAGGAGGATACTGCATTATTAACAGAATGTGCAGAAAGTAATGTTGAAGAAGTGCATATTGACAGTCAAAACAAAAATGAGGTAATTTTTGATGATTCAGAAGGAATAGATGAAAATATAATACTCACTGAAATGGCTGATAAAATGAATACTGAAGTAGAAGCAGAGAGAGAAATAGATACTCTGACAAATACCAATGTGATAGTTTTAGACTCAAGTTTAAATGAACAGTCTTCTACTGACTATCTTGAAGAAGAAGTGATTGATGTAAAAGATTTGAATAAAAAATACACCAGCAATTGCAATGATTTGCAAACTTCTCCTGTTCATGAAAAAGTGGAAAACAGTGAGGTTCATAATACAGAAAGCAGTCTTGGCAAGATGTTGCTGACTTCAAGCAAGATTGCAATGATGACCTTACAAACCTCTGAATCTCCAGCTGATAAGTCTGTTACCTCCACTGAGAACTTGGTGTCTTCCCTGGAAGCAGAAGTATGTTTGGATGAAGAAGATTCCCAAGCAAGTGAGGACCTCCTGCTGCAACAGATCATCCAAAGCCAAAATAACAGAGAGGACAACAATGTGCATGACTCTTCTCCGAACAGCCAAACCGAAAAAGTCAGAAAAAGAACCAAAAGCAAACAGTTGGTTCAGGAATGGCTTCAGACAGATGTTCCCGGGGAAGTCATGGGAGATGTCCCTGCCGACATACCTAGTCCTCTGATGGAGGATTGGCTTTTGAGGGAGGGTTCTGAGGGGGTTGTTCCTCCCACACCTGCCCCTGCCCTTGCCCCTCTCTCCCGACCTATATCAGAAGGTGGTCAGAAATCTGCTGACTCTTACCCCAGCACTGTTCCTTTTGTCCCCATTCTTCAGATAGAGGAACACTCAGGTATCCTACTTTTTTTTCTGCTTGCCTCGCTGAGGTAGATCCTTCCTTTATAATTCATCATTCTTTGTGTGAAATGAAGTGACCATTTTAAGCATATAAGCTTTCTATTCTAAAATTTATCTAAAGTGCATTGTTTTAAAGTGCAGATCATGGTTCAAAGTACAGAATACCTTGTAAAATTTAATATTTTTTTGAACATTTCTCTTTAAAAAAAGAACTCTTTGTAACAATTCATGTAGAAAAATTGATTTGTCACATCATTTCGCAACACTAAATTTCCCTGCCTTGGAATTCTCCCTTCTAACCACTTCAAAGCCTCAAAATTATGCAACATCAACAAAGTTTTTAGTTTTGAATATTTTTAAGGCAGTAAAAAGCTGGCAACCTTTCACTAATTGTTACAAACAAGTCACAACTGTTTATCAGCATTTCATGGAAACCAAATTATTTTCAAAATTACGCAACTTGTGGCTCGGGTACCCTCATTAAGTAAAATGAACAGGCCTATTCCAACAAAATTGTATGCTTATATAATCAACATGATAGACTTATTCCAAAAATCAATCAACTTGATTGGACATGGATGCTAAAGATTCAAAGACCTTTGTGATGTTGGCTAGTTACATGTACTGCAGGTGTTGGGAATTAATGGTTTTGATTTCTGTTTTTTCTCTGTCATCTTCAATAAGAACAAACGCAGTGAGGTATTAATTATGATTTATATTTTTCTCTTATAGTTTCCAGCTATTGATTTTTTTTTTCTTTTGATTGCAATATATATCCTTTGTTATTAGAAACATCTAATAATAAAAGAAAACGAGAATGAAGAAAGTTAAGCAAGGTTAATGTCAGTATTAGATTAGGCAGTGCTTAACATACTAATTAAATTTTTTCTCTTGAAAGTTCAAAGCTATGTTGATGTTAAGTTTGAATCATTTAGATTCATTTAATTATTCAAAAAAAAAAAAAGGGAATTTTTTTAGAGGAGCCAATGCCCTTGGTTGCAAATGTTTTCAAAGTACTTCCTAATTAAAGTAAGATTCATTCAGTATCACAAATGCTTACAAATTTGATGTCCTTGTAAGGGTCAGTAAGAACGCTTTGTTCAAATACTTTCATACATTTGTATAACTGTTTATAACCAGTAGGCATTTCCCTTGGTTGTCTGTGCAGTGCTTGTAGAGACAGTGAATAGCTAATGATTTCTGTACAAATAACATTCCACTAGGAGGTGGACTTCAGAAAATTTGATTTTGCATGGACAGTTATTAACAAAGGCACATTAGAAAACATGCATGCGTTTTTGCACTTTTATCAACAATTTGGTGTTCAATATGGATTTTTTAGCTCACCTGAGCCGAAGGCTCAAGTGAGCTTTTCTGATCAAAATTTGTCCGTTGTCTGTCGTCGTAGTCGTTGTTGTCGTTGTAAACTTTTCACATTTTCATCTTCTTCTCAAGAACCACTGGGCCAATTTCAACCAAACTTGCCAAAAGTATCCTTGGGTGAAGGGGATTCAAGTTTGTTCAAATGAAGGGCCACGCCCTTTTCCAAGGGGAGATAATCATGAATAAGAGAAAAATTATTGGCATTTTTAAAAAATCTTCTTCTCAAGAACCACTGGGCCAGGAAAGATGAAACTCATGTGGAATCATCCTCAGGTAGTGTAAATTAAAGTTTGTTCAAGTCATGACCCCCGGGGGTAGGGCAGGGCCAAAATGGCCGATCAAAGTTTTACATAGGAATATATAGGAAAAATCTTTAAAAATCTTCTTCTCAAGAACCACTGGGCCAGGAAAGATGAAACTCATGTGGAATCATCCTCAGGTAGTGTAGATTCAAGTTTGTTCAAGTCATGACCCCCGGGGGTAGGGCAGGGCCAAAATGGCCGATCAAAGTTTTACATAGGAATATATAGGAAAAATCTTTAAAAATCTTCTTCACAAGAACCACTGGGCCAGGAAAAATGAAACTCATGTGGAATCATCCTCAGGTAGTGTAGATTCAAATTTGTCCAAGTCATGACCCCCGGTGGTAGGACGGGGCCATAATGGCCGATCAAAGTTTTACATAGGAATATATAGGAAAAATCTTTGAAAATCTTCTTCTCAAGAACCACTGGGCCAGGAAAGATGAAACTCATGTGGAATCATCCTCAGGTAATGTAGATTCAAGTTTGGTCAAGTCATGACCCCCGGGGGTAGGGCAGGGCCAAAATGGCCGATCAAAGTTTTACATAGGAATATATAGGAAAAATCTTTAAAATCTTCTTCTCAAGAACCGCTGGGCCAGGAAAGATGAAACTCATGTGGAATCATCCTCAGGTAGTGTAGATTCAAGTTTGTTCAAGTCATGACCCCTGGGGGTAGGGCGGGGCCAAAATGGCCGACCAAAGTTTTACATAGAAATATATAGGGAAACCTTTTTAAATCTTCTTTTCAAGCACTTCAAAGCCATGATTAGTAATATTTATATGGAATCATCCTCAGGTAATGTAGATTTTAGTTTGTTCAAATTATGATCCCCTTGGGGGTTAAAATTCAACCCCCCCCCCCCCCCCCCACTTAAGTTAACTTACAGTTCTGATCTGATATGTGTTTTTTTTCCTTGCTGATGTTCTCAGGTGAGCGCTGTGGCCCCTGGGCCTCTTGTTTCATTTGTTTCAGCTTTTCGTCTCTTTTGTATTGCAAGAGCATTGGTTATCATGTTAATTGATAAATCTAGGCACACCAGTATTTTTTTTATTTAGATTAAAAAAAATTCTTTAGTACATTTTTTTAGTACATATGCTAAGAAATGACTATAGTAAATATGGTAAAATATTTTTGATCAGCTAGAGGTATTTGTTAAAGCCAAAGAACAGTTTAAAATATATTTTCATACTATTTGTCTAGTTAGATATGTAAGGCTTTGTGGACAGAAACATTTCTTTTGAGAAGGAAAACATCCAGGCATTTCCTTTGAAGTCTTATAACTATCTGTTTCAAAGGCAGTCATACTTTGTACCTGAAACTCCCAAGACACACTTGATAGAATTAATTAAATATTTTGTATGCTACATTTTTAACCTTGAATTTGTTTTGTCAGAGAGAGCAGAGGGAGGAACCACCCGCCTGTCCCCCCGGGCAAGTTCAGAGGGGTCGGGAAGTTTTGAGGACAGCGGTCATGTTAGTGGTGCTTCTACAGAAAACACTCCTGAGCATCGCCGAACCGGCAGTGCAATCAGTCAACTATCAGTGCCTTCATCCACCTTATCCACAGTTACTGATGTAAGTACAGTATCCACCTTATCCACAGTTACTGATGTAAGTACAGTATCCACCTTATCCACAGTTACTGATGTAAGTACAGTATCCACCTTATCCACAGTTACTGATGTAAGTACAGTATCCACCTTATCCACAGTTACTGATGTAAGTACAGTATCCACCTTATCCACAGTTACTGATGTAAGTACAGTATCCACCTTATCCACAGTTACTGATGTAAGTACAGTATCCACCTTATCCACAGTTACTGATGTAAATACGAGGGTTGATCCAAAAGTAATGTCACAACTTCGATAAAATCGCTACCCGTCGACGTAAAACAACAAAATTATTAATGATGAAAGCTACATTTATTTCAAATCAGACCTGAAAATTTCAATTCACTACAGCATGATTTATGCTTTTCAAAATATCGGATTATATACAAAGTGCGATTATGGTAGTCGCCGCACCTAAATAACGTCATATGACGGATACACGACGTCGTACATTTAAACGCTTCATTTGCTTTCATTAAAAATATGAGAGATCCACGAACACGTTCACATATTTCACCTTCTTAAAGAAAACTTGCTACCCATCGTACACTCACTCTTTCCATAATTAATTCTTCTGTCAAAATTCTTTGAACAGTAGTATAAGACCAACTTAAAATTTCACATATCACTCTAACCGTCTGTCTTTTTTGAAAACGTCAAACACCATTGAACGTTTCCGTCCGTCCTCTCATCTTTCGCTCTTCTTGTCATCTGCTGAGCATTCAATGACCCATCACCCATTCAAAATCGCTGAAACTATCGGCCCAAATTGGTTATACGGAAAAGTAGTTCGTATTTGATTTGAAATATTTTGGTATATTAATGCGCAATATTCATTACTACATGTATTAATTTAATAAGAAATCAGTGGTTATGTAAATTTTATTTATTTTAGAATTTGAATAAGTATGAATAATAATGATGAAATATATATCAAATTTGAATATAATTATGAATGTGTATGTATTATGAAAAGTTTACAAGTAGAAAAGGTATACAGATTGACAGGTATACAGGTCAACGGGTAATCTATAGGTATATAGGTCTACGGATGGAAAGTTATATGGGTTTACAGGTAGACTGGTCTATGGGTTGATAGTTCAACAGGTCTACATGACTGCAGAAATACTGGTCGATAGGTCTAGAGGTGTACAGGTCTACAGGTTGACAGGTCTACGGGTCGACAGGTCTACGGGTCGACAGGTCTACAGGTCTACGGGTTGACATGTCTACAGGTCTACGGGTTGATAGGTCTACGGGTTGACAGGTCTACAGGTCTACGGTCTACAAGTCTACAGGTCTACGGGTCTACAGGTCTACAGTTCTACAGGTCTAAGGGTCTACAGGTCGACAGGTCTGCAGGTCTATGGGTCTACAGGTCGACAGGTCTGCAGGTCTATGGGTCTACAGGTCAACAGGTCTACAGGTCTACGGGTCTACAGTTCTAAAGGTATACGGGTCTGCAGGTCTACGATTCTACAGGTCTACAGGTCGACAGGTCTACAGGTCTACGGGTCTACAGGTCGACAGGTCTACGGGCCTACAGGTCGACAGGTCTACAGGTCTACAGGTCGACAGGTCTACAGGTCTACAGGTCTACAGGTCTACGGGTCTACGGGTCTACAGGTCTACAGGTCGACAGGTCTAAAAAACAAGGGATTCAATGTTTCCTAGATATTATAGTATACAAAATTCAGATTGATGATTATAATTTTTGGACAATTTACAAATTTTTTGAGAAGTCATTGTGTAAATGAGGTAGGAAATGAAAATGTAAACAATTTATATGAGATGACTATATTGTTAAGTATTAGAAATTGGAAACGGTATGACCGATGTCATCGATAAGTTTTTGGTAAACATCGCCATTTGAAAATCCGTATCGATATCTATATGAAAATTCATGCAAAAAATCCTGGATCTTGTCGTGGAGAATGCCTTTCATTTTCTTGATTTTGTTTTTCGTAATACCCCAAACGCCCTCAATTTCGTTGGTACATGTTCCATCGCTGGCTAAGAATTCTTTAGAATGATTGACTGTTTTGTGCACAAATCCCTCTTCAACCAAAGTGTTATATGCTGACCAGCAATCTGAATGAATTGTAGAACCTTCGGAAACAGATTCTTTAATTATAGGTAATAGAGTGTCTTTATTTCTCTTTTCCACTACCCGAAAAATGACTTTTCTGGTTCCCTTTTCAACCATACCAAAAACCCACGTATCCTGTCTTCCTGTTCCTCTGTTATATTTTCTTTTTTTTCCAAATAAGCTTTCGTCAATTTCTATAATTCCCATACTATCTCCAAGTGTAATTGGATCATTCTTTAAAAATTGCAATGTCATCGATCGTAATTTGCGAAACCACTCTATAACTGTGCCATGATTAACATCAACCAGTTTCTCAATTTCATAAATTTGAAAATCCATTCCAAAGTAATATAATATTTCCGTGAGTTTTTCCAGCGATAATTTGGAATTCTGTGAAAAATTGAAAATAGTTTATAAAATTTAGAATAACAGTGTAATAAATTGATAATGTTTTAATAAAATAATTGTTTGTTTTGAATCTTTATGGGTCAATTTTTTTCCTATATTATTGAAAATGTTTCCTACCTCAAAGATTGAATTTTTCCTAATGGAACAAGATGAAATACAGCATGGGCATTTCCATTGAGCCTGATCTGATAAATCTTTTCGCTTGACTAAATTCATTTCCGATCCACATACTACACAGTCCATATGTTTTTGTAAGATGTTTATTTCCATTAAATATGATATTAAATTTTCCTTATGGGAAATAATTTTGTAAAATTCAAAAGCTTTCGGAGCCCGTTTCGAATTTTCGGAATTGGTATCCATTTTTAAAAAAAAATGGAACCAGTATAAGAATCTTTAGAGTATCGAAAACTTTGCTGAATAAAATTTTAAGTATCCATAGCGTTACTATGTATTTGTTACAAAAAATATTATGTATCCATAACGTTACTTATATTATGACGTCACAATAGAAACGTTTCATTTCAAAGACACTTTGGATAAGAGATGGCATCGATGAAGAAAGTTAGAACGGAGGATGTTTTTGAAATTTACAAGAACTCATATAGCGTTAAAATTCCATGGAAAAATGTATTTTCAGAAGAAATTGAAAACTGTTTGACAGTGTTCGAAAAGGCGACGAATTGTTCTAAAACTTTAATTACGGCAAGCTTATTATCCTTAGTTGCGGCACTGACCGGACCAGAAAGTAAAGTTACTGTGGGAAGCAGTGAATATACCACAGTTCTTAACCAGTTTATAATCTCCGTGTGCGCGCCCGGTGGAGGAAAAAGCAACACATTTTACAGAGTTGTAGATCCGGTAATTGAGAAAATCAGAAAGAAGCACGGGGTGAATCTGCAACTGGAAACATATACAACCGCTGGTTTACAGAAGCATCAGATAGACAACAACGGATACGGTCTAATTACCAGTGATGAGGGACACCGTTTCTTAACATCCATAAATGTAAAGCAATCGAAAGGAGAGGGCGAACGTTCACTGTTATGCAAAATGTGGGGCGGGAAAGGAGACACGGCAACCCTAGTATCCGGAAACAGAGGTTTCATGAAAACGTCAATGTCATGTTGCTTGTTTATTCAACCCCATCCTCTGCTTTCCGAATTATTCCATCTTGGAGGAGATGATGGTTTGCTTGACCGATTTCTGTTCTTTGTGTCAAAACCTATATTTAACACATCGGCAGTAACAAAAGAAAACATGCAGATACTAAAAGATTCAAATGTGCAGGACTTTGCCGAAATATTGACAAAAGTTTACGAAGAACATACTAAAGGGCAATTGTACACTCTCTCAGAAGTTGCAGAGCAAGAATTTGACGCAATGACTGACTCGTATGCAGAGTTCATAAGTAGAAAATATGGCTCAGATGAAGGTATGAAATGTTTTGATTTTTTTTTCTCAAATTACAATGTGTATAATTATTTTAATATATAATTCGTTTATTTTTACTCAAAATAATTATAACGATATTATTAGTGAATGAATAATGTATTTACAAATAGATTTAAATAATTTTTTTAAAAATGTTAATTAAGATTGTAGTTCTAAAAAAATTAATAGAAAAAATAATTAAATGAATAATGCATGTAGTTATAAATGAAATTAATACAATTTATAAAATGTATTATTTTAAGAAGATGATAAGGAAAACAATGAACCTTCAATGTCTCAGAACGATCCATCTGAGGAGTCGTCCACAATTACTAGTAAGGATACAACACATATTTTGAGATTGGCAGTTGCTCTACACATCCTGCAACATAACCTGACTGGAGCTATGGAGAATAGATTAACTCCAACACCTACAGAAATTACTGAGGAAACATTGAAGCAGGCCATGGTTTTATATAATGCGGTTTCTCAACAGAAGGCTCTTTTTGTACAGGTTTGTTATATTATTGTGGTCAATTTAAAAAGATAATATGGATGAGGACATGTGCACGTAGAATATGAAAGGGTCAAATATTTGTATTTTTTTCTCAAAATGATTAAGTTAATATATAACACCCCCCCCCCCCCAACACTACCTATATTTGTGGCGCATCACGGTTAAATTAATTTCTGTCTCACACAGATGATACATATATATGTGTTGTCATTAATTAAGATGTGTTTATTAGATAAATAGCATACATATAATGTATATTTACTGAGCATAAGAAAACGTATTTAGATTTAAGTATTTATCTTGTTATTTCAGTCAGTACAAGCATTTGAGAAAGAAGTCTCCAATTTAAGAATAAAATCGGTGATGTCCTTTAGGGAAAGAGTCTTTAAGGCAGTATGCAAGGCAAAGAGCCCCTGTGTGTCAATAAGATATTTGCAGCAGCATCTTAAGGGATCTTTATCCCAGAATATCAGAAGTAAGTTATGCAATAAATATCATTGAATTAAACTGTAAAACATTGAATGATATGATGTAAAATTTTAATCCAAATTTGAATTTTCATTCAAACTTTTTATAAGATGTACATGTATACTCATTAGTGTTAATGTCATTCCATTGTGCATTCTGACATGTTTTAACTTAAACCGAAGCAAGTGACATAAGTTGTTAACAAAATATAGTAATGCCAATTAATATAATATTCAGTGTTCAATATTTCTTGAAAAATTAGTTTTAATTTTGAGGGAATTTCGTATTTATATTTATAGAAAAAATTATAGACACTGTATTCTCAATGTAGGGGAATAGTTATATACTTAACATAATTAAATACTATTGAAAGTTTTCCCATATTTTCATTGATTTAGAATATATATGATTGCTAATTTTTTTTCAAATCAATGATACAACCATCATGGTAATATATATGTTTTATAAATAAAAATTACAATAAATATTTTTAGTTGAACTAGAGCATTTGGAAAGGTTGGGATTTGGGAAATTAAAAGCATTAAAGACAAGGCAAGGGAAAAAAGATTTTTTCATGAAGATCCATCCAAACTGCATAGACGAAGAAATTGGGGAACATCAGAAGATGCTGACCAACGCAGCCATTAGTATTGAAAATTATAGGACCAACTTCAATGACGACTCAACAATCGGAGCAGATGTTAAGGGGTTTCTTATGCAGAACCATCCACAATCGGAGATGATTGAGTTTCTATGGTGATTGGGAAGATTGTGAAATATTTTTTGTTATGCAGAAACATACACAATCAGAGATGAATGAGTTTATATGTTGACTGGGAAGATTGTGAAATTTTTTTTTTATAATTATAAAATATCATTATTAGCGGGTGCTATATTAAGCTGTAGTCTGTTGACATGTCGACCCGTAGACCTGTTGACCTGTAGAACTGTAGACTTGTTGACCTGTAGACCTGTTGACCTGTAGACTTGTTGACCTGTAGACCTGTTGACCTGTAGACCTGTTGACCTGTAGACCTGTCGACCTGTAGACTTGTTGACCTGTAGACCTGTTGACTTGTTGACCTGTTTACCTGTAGACTTCAATTAGATATTACAGTGCAAAATAATATATATTTATGTAAGTTTATATTTTTATGTATTCATATGAATACCTATGAATATTCATGAATTCAATAAATTGAGTTATATGCAAATAATAAATATTTAATATTTTTGATTTAAAATAACTATATACAGTTCAGAGGACTATTTACTCCGTTTTCAATATGAGTGAATCCACAGGTACTACATATCCGTATACTATACTTGATCCAAACTATCTAAATAAGTCCCTTATTTACATTCTTTCCTCTGTGAGACTGGTGAATCAACGTTACTGTCTCTTCTGGCGATTTCTTCATTTTGAAGCTAAAATGCATTACAGTTTGTTCTGGCTTTCTTTGCCCATTTCGGCATTTCCTTTTTTTCAATGCAATGCACCGGAGTAAAACAACGATGTTTTTAAAATAAAAAATAGCAATTATGTCATATACTTTTCAACTTAAGACTAAAAAATGATGTAAATTTTTGTCTTTTCAAATATTTTGTGATTAGGCGCTTTTAATAGATGTTTTTTAATGTGTTTGTCTTCTTTAATTAAAAAAAGTACACTTTAATTGTAGGGGTGGGACGATACACACATCTTGCGATACGATACGTATCTCGATATATTGGCACGATACGATACGTATCTCGATATTATGAGAAATTATGAAACTTTTCAAAAGAATTAGTATTTTATTTCTTTTTTTTTGTTTTGACATAAACTCAACATATTATTCTATATCAAATCATGTTTGCTTTGAAATTTATACTTGAAGTTCATCAATTGACTAAAATTTTACAAAAACAATAATACATGTACATACTATTATTACCAAATTACTATTCAGAAGTTGTTTACAAATAGTTGGGTAGTTTATCAGAGAATACTGACTGAAAATTCATTTGAAAAACATCGATCACATTTACATTTTTATTGATTAGTTGCTGAAAGTCTGTAGCCAGGTTGAGATTACAAGATGGACAAACAATTAATAAAATCAAATGTTCTGGAAACGATATTTTCTGTGTATAGCACGCATTACATACTGAACTTTTCTTGTCCAATCTTCCGAGACTGCTTAAAAGTGAAAACATTTTACCCCTAACCAACAACTTATTAGTTCTTAAGTGTGTTTTCAATAATCAACATCATTTCTTCGCTCGTACAAGCCGCCATTTTTCAAGGACAGGTACTTTCGTTTTTAATTTTTGGATAGGTCGTTCGTGTACTGTTTCGTACCGATATTTGAATGCTTGTATCGTAAACCGTATCTTTGAGGAAAATATCGATATGTATCGGTGTATCGGTATATCGTCCCACCCCTATTTAATTGTGACGTTCGGTTGTGACGCGGCGACCCCCCATATGTTCTATGTTTTAAACATCTATGAAATAAATTCAGTTAAACATTATTGAATGAAAAATTCAAGTTAAATTCAATTTATATTTGTGCATCTTTTGGTACATTATATGTGATAATATGACGCCAAATATAAAAGATATGGACACTGTGACATTACTTTTGGATCAACCCTCGTACAATGTCCACCGTAACTGATGTTAGTACACCATGCACTGATACTGATATAAGTACATCATCCACTGTTACTGATACTGTTGCTGACATAAGTACATCAACCACTATTACATGTACTGATGCAAATACATAAGCCTTTCAAACTGATGTAAGTAAAATTATAATTCATCCACAAATGGAACAGTCTTATGAATCTCAGGTCTAATGTGGAATCAAAGTTTGTTAGGGCCAATATTTGTGGATTTCAGGGGTCACCCTTAACATATGAATTGACATAATTAACTCCCTACAGATAAGTAAATTGTACTTCCCCATGAACATTGGCCCCCAAACAAATCACAATAACTCCACACTAGCGATTGGGAAACTTCCAAAAGTTTATACATGTTATAGGTTACTGAAATACTCAACAATCATCTTCAGTTCTGTGATGCAAACCAGCAGCTGCATCTGAAAGTATCCCAATTCAAATAGTAATGGAGACAGAAAAGTAACAATGTGAAGTCTTTCTTTATTGAATTACTTGTTTTACGGTTACATGTATATCCTATTTCTCCTTTTTCTGGCTGCACAAACTTTCTGCACTGAGAATATTAACAGAAGATTGGATTGGTTTCAGTAAATAATTAATCCAGTGACATATAGTTAAATCAGTGTTGATTTAAATATAGATGTCCGTCACAATATATTGATTTTCCTGCAGACATTTTCGGGAAAAAAAAACCCTTTTATTAACTCTCTAGATTGAAGTTGTACAAAGAAATTAGTTGAGTGAAATCAAGAACCCATTAAATAGATTTAGTTTTTAAAAAAATGTTTTTTCATAAAAATTGCAGTTTGTTCATGCATCTATTCATACCAAATTTAAATTCACAGCACTGGAATTTGTATTGCGCATTGGCTCAAAGACTTTTTGTTTTTTGCACTGTCATGTAATGACTTGTGACCTTTTTTTTTTAATTTCAGCGTTCATCAGAGGACACAGACATCGATGACCTGGTGGCCTCCCATCGTTGCCTTAGCGCCAGTAGTCGTGGTAACCTCCTATCAACAATAGCTGTAAGTCATCATGAGCAAGTTACACAACTTTCAATGTTTGCTTTTAAAAATTGACATTTTATCTCAAAAATTGAGTTTGAACTATAGAATGAATATCTTGAGATCTAGAACATGAACAAATCTTTAGATAGTACACATACTATTAGAAATAAAAGATATTTTCTATTGTTTAGCTCAATAATAAAAGAAATGTTCTAATAATAGAAATCTTTATATAGTTCTATTGAATATAAAAAAAAAAATTTCTACTGTTAAGCTCATTTATAAGGAAAGTTCTAATAATTGTTTCATTCGTAAATATTTACAGGATAGTCGAGAAAGCATCCTCAGTTTCTATAGCAATGCAGGTGAGGTGGATTATGGGAAGATTCCTGTTACGGGGGAGATATGCTTTGGTCTGGAGTATAACTACAGGACTGGAACGCTGGAGATCCAGGTCAAACAATGTAAAGGCCTGGCTCCGGCCGACACCAAAAGGAACAGATCTGATCCGTATGTACACCCATCCAGACAATGTATACTACAGTTACAGTCTGTTATGAAAAACTAACTCCTAAGGAAATCTGGGTTATATGAAACTTTTATAAATCTCATAGAAAAATTTTCAGTAATAGTATATTTCTGAATCTCAAAAGCTATAAGCATGATAACTTAGGATACAGAATTTGAGGTCCAACCTATAACCAAGTTTTATACTTTATACAATCATGGTGGAAAAAAATTTCTTGCCATTTTCATAATATTTTAGACATGACTGAAGTTGGAAAAAAATCATAGTATGATCATGCATTTCAATCTTGCAAGCAAGGCATGGTTTAGAAAAATCTAACTGCAAAGAAAAAACTATATATTAATGACAATATTTTGTTGCAAACTATGTGGAAGAAAATTGTTGAATTTAAAAATTTAAACATATTACAAAATTTTCAGATATGTCAAAACTTACCTACTTCCTGACAAAACTCGAGGAGGAAAAAGGAAGACGCGCATTATGAAGAACACCTTAAATCCAGTGTTTGAGCAGACTCTAAGGGTATTCAGCATTTCTAAATTTAATTTTAAAAATATTCAGATTTCAAACAGCTTTCCAGTAAAGTAAAATTTAGTCCAGTTACTGTATTTAATGGTGTTCCAAGTGAACATTTTACACTTTTTGATGTGTTTTGTTTCAGTACTTAATTTCTAAGAGTGAGCTGGAGAACAGGACTTTGTGGGTCACGGTGTGGCACAATGACCGGTTCGGACGCAACGACTTCCTGGGAGAGGTCACCATCAACTTTGATTACTTTCGGTTCTCTGATTCTTCAGCCAAGTGGTACCCACTTCAAGAGAGGGTAGGTGTATTTAGTTATGAAATGATACCTTTTCTTTTGCAGAATTTTTTTTTTAAATTATGATTTTTATGCAAGAGCTACATGTAGGACATACATGAATACATTAGCATCAAAAGGTCATAGGGGATATAGAGAGGGGAAGAAATAATTAATTACAATTTGGAAAAATATATCTAAATACAATAAGTCAAGCTCAATTAGTAATACATGTACATTTAATACAATTTAATTCAAGAGGATGTAGATGCTTTGAAATTACTAATTTTCGGGGTGGGGGGGGGGGGGTGGGGGGGTGGGGATGGGTTAATTTACATTGAATTTGAGGTATGATCAGACACCCACAGATTTATGACAACAACAAAATGTCAAATTTTCATATGCATTACTATTATAAAACATTTTCTAACCACAAAATAAAATCTTCACAAGCCAATATTTTTTCCTCAAACCTCAAAAATTGGACCCCACAAAAATCAAGATTTGAAAAAAATAAGAAGAAGGGAAACTTGATAGAAAAAACAATATCTCTGATTTATATTGGGGGGCCCAGCTTAAATATTTGCAGATTTTCATTTTGTAATCTGTGGATAACTTGAAATGGTACATGTTGTATAAGAACATTAATGATACATTGTACATGCAGTTATAATATTATCTCGTCCAAACCACAAAACACAAATTGTTTTAAAATTGAAACAATACCATGATTGTAGAAAGGAAAAAGGACATTACTGGTACTATGAAGTTTTTAACAACGTTATGAATTATGCATTTGTTGAAAACGAAAATCACAAACCATGTACAGAGTAAAAGCTTGATCCTGTATTGGATAAAAACTTTTTTTTTTCTTTGATTTCGAGTTCTGCATGCTTGTGATAAAAACTGTGCCTGTTTTTCATCATCTGCATGCTTTTGTTAATTGCTTTTTTAGCCTCTTTAGTTTGTGTTTGAGCTGTACATGTTCATTAAAATACAATGAGACAATACCATTGTGAGAATTATTACGTAACAATGCTTTTGTTTGTGCACCGTACGTAGCATATACTCAGCTCATTGACAAATGAAATACTGTAAAATGCATCATCTCTGTAGATTTCATTGTATAATTACCGAGAGAGAAATTGACACCAGCATGTTTCCCATTGTAAATAAATTTCTCTGTTGACATAATTGAGGTCGTTGAATTGCACAACATATTGGAAATAATTATTCCATTGGGAATTCATTGTACTTTTGTTTTCAGTTCAATATCAGAATGTGGTCTGTATGATGATATAACATGGTTTAAAAAAAAAAACGTCACATTTTATAGGCTACATTAAAAGAAATCATCTTTATCTCTTGATTGCTGGGAGAGAAAAAAAGGGGGGTGGGGTATTTTATTTAAACAGATTGCCTAATTGTACACTTTGATGTCAATAAAAGTAAATTTTTGATTTCATTTGTTATGAATATCAATTTCATGTTACTGAAATTTAAATGCAAAATTATTTTTAGATAGAAACCTCGGAGAGATATAATGATTGTTATTTTATTTTATTTATCGAAAATAAAAAATATATGTAATACCCTGTGTTTTCTAGATTGAGTCCCAGCCTACTGCCAATCTAACATACAAGGGAGACTTATTCTTAAGCATGAAGTTTGTACCACCAGAAAAAGTCAGGAAAGAGGACACAGTGACATCTCCTTCCAAGAAAAAGGTCAAGAGGGGAAGATCAGAGGTCGGAGGTCCAAAGGGTCAACTCCATGTTCTGATTAAAGAGGCCAGAAACCTGAGTGCTGTCAGGAGCAGTGGCTTTTCTGATCCTTTTGTTAAAGGGTAAGTAGTTTTTTTTTTTTGACAAAAGGTGATAAGATATGTATTCTTCCTCGTAATTATGACAGGTGATGTGAGACTTGTCTTTTAATGAAGTGAAAAATGATTCAAATCCATAAATTTTTTCAAGGACTTTTATGTCCCTGGATTGAAAGATCCCGGGGGTATATTTTTTTTGTTGCGTCTATCTGTTTGTCTTTTGTCAACTTTAACCTAGCCCCTAACTATTGTGCCGTCAAGTGTAAGTGTATTCCACTTCAGTCTACGTTCCACTCCAGAATTGTGTTACCATGGGGGGAATAGTGTTTCACAAACACATCTTGTTCTATCAGTGCATTTTTTTCAGTAACATTTCAATCAATTTTTAAGTTTAATGGGGTTCAAAAATATTTATGAACAAAATTAATTAACTTTTGTGATTTGATATAGGTACTTGTTGCCAGACAAGCAGAAAGGCCTGAAGCAGAAGACATCCGTGGTCAAACGCAACTGTAACCCGCAGTGGAACCACACGTTTATGTTTGATGACGTGTCCAAGTCAGATCTCAAGGAAAGATGTCTGGAACTCACTGTGTGGGACCACGACAAACTCAGCAGCAACGAGTTCCTGGGGGGACTCAGATTTAATCTAGGTGTTGGTGAGTTGGATTTTGTGTTTTTGTTGAGTCTGCGCCTGTGAATGTGGTGGGGCGGGGGGTATGTTAAAGATGTTTTGACTTTGATATTCTTTTGCATCATATGTCCTACAACTTCGAGCCTCTTTATAAGGATCATTGTCTGATATTGGATCAGGATTTAGTGACTTTCAAAGCAAAAATGTCAAGGTCATATGTGTTCTTAGACAAACTCGAAGACCATTTTAGATTAAACATTGGTCAGGTTGTGTTTTGAAAAAAAAATCAGATTGATTTCATTTAGTTAGTTTTATTTTGTTGCAATTTTGTTTCTAAAATAAAACTTATATTTCAGGTAAAAGTTATGGAAAGCCAGTGGATTGGATGGACGCCCATGGAGAGGAAATTTCAATGTGGCAGGCCATGCTGGACCGACCCAATATTTGGATAGACTGTGCCCTAATGTTACGACCGAATATGGACAAACGCAAATATTAGACAATTTCACCGACTCAATATCTGGATATAATGTGCCCTTATGTTACGACCGAACATGGACAAACGCAAATATTAGACAACTTCACCGACCCAATATCTGGATATAATGTGCCCGTATGTTATGACCAAACATGGACAAACACAAATATTAGACAAAATCGCTGGCTGACCCAATATCTGGATAGGCTGTGCCCTCATGTTACGACCCAGCATGGACAAACGCAAATATTAGACAAAATCGCTGGCTGACCCAATATCTGGATAGACTGTGCTCTTATGTTGCGTCCAAACATGGACAAATGCAAATATTAGACAACATTGCCGACCCAAATACCCAAATGTACCCTAATATTACGACCCAACATGGATAAACGCAAATATTAGATAGCTTTTTTAAAAAATACACAATGCAGTATGTACTTTTTTCTACAAATTAGCATTTTAAGCAAAAGAATAGGACTTAATGATATATTGGCTGATAGACCCCCTTCATTTCGTTAAAAAGTCACAAAATTCTTAAAATTTTGGTATTTTGGGGGGGGGGGGATGGGATAAGGGGGGTGCTGTTGTGTTAAAATGATATACATATCTCATTTTGGACATGCAACTTAAGTGTTACTGATAATATTTTTGATGTAATGAGTAGTTCATTGTTGAAACTTACACATGAATTCGAATTCATCAGCAAGACAAAGAATTTCAATATTTATTTTTGGCAATTTCAAATTGATAAAATGCTGAAGTTATTGTATGTAAGTTTATTTTCTTATTGACTACGGTCAGAGAATGACTGTTCAAAACTAGATCTGTGCAATGAAAGATTTCATGCATAATATTTTATGTACAAAAAACAAAATGTTTATGATATGGCTATGGGATAAAGTATGGCACGTGAAAATTGAGTTCTATATTGAAAAAATATTTTCTGTGTGTTGTACAGCAAAACTCGATTTAATATAACGAAGTCACTGAGACCTGTATGATACTATTTGCTATATCCATAATTCGTTATAACCATACAAGAAATTCATTAAAGTTATATAGTTGGGGATCCAAGATGACTTCGCTATATCCATAAATTCGCAATATCCGTGTTCGTACTAAACGAGTTTTGCTGTACTTTGTTTTAAAACTCAACTTTCAATATATTGGTTTGTTTAATTAAAATTTGATGATATGTTATGACTAATAGTCACAGAATTTGGTATTATTTATTATTTATTGTGGGCTTTGCAGGGTTGGTTTCTCTCCAAGGGGTTTTGAATTCTATGTTAAATATTTAAAATTGATTATTTTTATTTACAAATGGGTAATATATTATTGATATTTATATTAATAAGTTATTAACGTCATATACCTGCATCAGATCTGAAACCTTATATATATTGCAAAGAACTTGCTCTAAAATATTTACTATTTTTTGTACTCATCTTGTTTACGTTTGTTTCCATGGTTACTATTGGTTGTATTTAATCATTGTTGAATATGTTTCTTGATGTTACATTCACTTCCATGTGCTATTTATATTATTAATTACATGTAGAAAATGAAACTTTGCTCAACACTAGCATTGTAGCTAGGCCATATTTAGGCCATTATTGTCAACTGTGTCGAAAGAATGCATATTTTTGCCTTCATTGAATTTTTTAACAATCAGATTACATGTACATTTCACGCAGATGATGGCAACAGAATATCTCTTTGAAGTTGTACATTCATATAGTTTTGTTATTAAAGAGAAGATGGAAATTGAAGATTTGATAGTTTGAAAAGCCTATCCAAATTGAAAGTGCATGTATGTAAAGATGTATATTATTTCTGGTTCTAAACTTCTTTCCAAGTTTTATGAATCTGAAACTATGTAAAGTTTCCAAATTTCATTCTGATAAGATGAAATTCAATCCATGTTTACATTCATCATAAATGAAATATTTTAACAATTTATTCACAAAGAAGGAAATCCTATAATTGTATTATTTATATATGTTTTTTTCCCCTGTTGGTCTCTCTTTATTGTTAATGTACATAAATTATTTCATACTGTTGATATCTGCTACCTTTATAATAAAACAATACTCTTGATTATATACAGTTTTTGATTATTTTATCTTGATTCAAGCTTAAGAAGTTCTAATTAGATACCCTTCAGATGGCGATAATTTTCTATGCGGAAAACATTTCACATCGTTGAAAGGGGAGAGTGATTGTAATTTTTGGTTCAGTAAAATCTTTTATTTGGTTATCACTGCATACCTTTTACCTTAATTAAGGCACTGTTTATGTGAAATATGAGTCACACTGGTCTAAGGGCAGAAATATGTTCTCCAGAAAGGGAGTTAACCTTGAATTCTGACATTTTTGCTTGAAGATCTGCCTAGGGATACATAATTCTATTTATTAGTCTTTGATTTGTTGCTGTAGTAACGAAAAATAGGGATTTTATGAGACATTCTAAGAGTCTTGCAAAGCTCTTAATAGATTAATTCTCAATTCAAAAGTGGACTTCATGATTCATATATATATTTAGAGCCAAACATTTCCAACTTGATAATCCAATATCTACCCTACATCTACTAAGAGAATCACACTTCAACATATATTGTTATGCTAAGCACTTGAAATATTTGTGTTTGAGATCATTTCAACTGCATACACATGTGCATGTATATCAATAAACATTTCTTGGGTAACTAAAAAAATATTTTTTCACAAGTACGCATACAAAATGGATCAAGGATTATAGTAAAGTCTTCCAGTATGGAATAGAGGTCATGCAGGTTTAAGTCTATATATATGACCAGGACATAATCTCCTGCATATGTAATCATGCTTAATTGTAGTGGACAAAACTTTCTCTCAAAAAAATTCTCAATAAATGTAACGTGCAAGTACCAAACGTAAATCTGCAATAATGGGCACTCGGCAATAATGGATACTCATATGTTATCACTTAAAAGAGATGTTCACCGATGTTTGTCTGTTGTTCAACATCCCTCTGGAGTATTTTTCATTCATGAAGACATCACCACTTGCCAGTGGACAGTTGCAAATTTTGTCATATACACGGCACTCAGGGCCATTGAGCAGGGAGGGATTTTTCACGTGCCAGCACCCACTGCAATATGGGTCTGCGGTTTCCACAGTGGGATTCAAACCTGTAATGTAAGGATCAACTCCTTACATCATCACTATAGCACAGATGCTCTATTTAAACTACTGCAACAAGACCACTGAGGTAATGAAGAAACAAAAAAAATTTTTTATTTATTGCATTAAAAAATTCTGAGTGACATTATCTAATGTCAATGATATCACAAGTGATCTCGGGTCCCGTCTGTTCTTCTTGCAAACAATGTGACCTTTGATCTGTTGACCTATTCAAAAAAAAAAGAAAAAGTTTTGAATTGCAAAACCTATATACTACATTGTACATATAGTACATTTTCTAGCATGAGATTAATTTCTGTATGCTGTCATTTTTTTTTTTGGTGTGGAAATTGTCTTCTTTAAATGCATTGAAAATGTATACAATGATAATACAAGATGATTGTGTCACTTTCTAACCACAGAGAAAACAAATCTTGATTCTGCATAATTATGACCCTATAGGATTACATTTAACGTAACGTAACTTGCCAGATACATGAATGACATTTTAAAGAACTAAGTAATAAACGTGAGATAACATCTTCTAATACACTTCCATGGACACAAAGGAAATGTTGTTTTTGCTATAATATTGTATTTAAATTGACTTGTGTCATTACTGATAAATCAACAGCACTTTGCAATTCTATATTTACCTGTAGTCACTTTCAATGGTTTCTCTAGAAGGAATATTGTTTGTTTCCAGTGAGTGGCTGTGGCCTGAGGCCCAGTGGAAAACATCACCTTAAATTATAGAATGATTTCTTGGTGATCTATTGCAATTAAGCCTCTGACAGTATCACATGCTACCTAACAGTACATTTGACGATATAAATATGCAAATTAAACCAATATGAAGCACATTACAGATTTTAGATAAAATAGAATTATAAATAACTGATATCTTTACATATTTTTAATATTGCAATACCCCAAGTAAAAGAAAATATAAATAGTTATCTAACCCTGCTTTTACCTCCTATTGCATTAATACAGTACCCATTAAATGGAAAAGTTCAATTTTCACTGTGACATGATTTTAACATGGCATAAGAAGGCATGTGTGTTAGTCAAACAGGTTTGAATACAAGTGACTAAATAACTCAGTAGAGCATGTGTCAAAAGATTCAGGGGGCCCAGGATCAAATCAGAGTCTGGTCTGTCACATTTTATTCCTCCCCTGATACAATTGGTGCTGTAACCAGGATATTTTGTTACAAAAGAGTCCAACTTCCAGTTTCACATGTATTGAAATACCGTATTAGCAGAAATTTTTAGGAGGATATAATTTTGGCATTTTTAGCAAGGGTGCTATCATTGCTTAAATCTAATATTGCTAAAAATTAATTGCTTTGTATTTCTAATATTTTCTTTAGCAAGTATTATAAAATCACTAAAATTACATCTAGCTAAAAATGAAAAAACAATTTTTAAGACAAAATTCGCTAAATTTGTATCTCACTAAAAATTTCACTTACAAAAATGTATAAGTTAGTTTTCTGGTTAAGCACTCTTAAGAAGTATTCAATTCTATTGTTTTTTTTTTTTACCTGAACAGAGCTTTGAACATTTCAAAATAAACCATCTTACCTTGTTAGAACAACCTTTATGAAAGAAAATATCAAAGTAGCCAGCTACTGCATTTATATGGCCCACCCCAGAAGCAGTGAGGATGAAGTCCTGTGAAAACTGTAGATCTGATAGGGAACATGTGCAGGTGTCTAGGTCCTACAATATAATGTTGATATTTTTATACATTTTTATACATCTCAGCAAAATACATGTACTAAGACAACTTGATTGAGCCCTCAAATCAGAATATGAATTTAGAAGGTAGGTCATAACAAAAGGAACAGTAGCAGTAATATAATGCTACACTGTATACACAATGAATATGCAACATTGCAATTTCATCAATAGTTTAGACTTTCTGTGTGCAGAGTAATGCTGTCTCTTCCTAACACTCCAAACTCCAGCTCAAACAGTGATGAAGACTGTATACATATATTTTATATAAAAGCAATCATTTGCTTTGGAGAAGTCATGTAAATTTCACAAAAACGTACATGTATATACCAAGTAATGAGTATTAATTTATTATTATCAAAAGTGAAGGTTTCCATGTACTATATCATCTTATGCTTTTGATGAACACTAAAAATTCAAAAAGATCTGATTTGTGTATTGTCATAAGGAAAGTCATTTTTTAATGGTTCAAGAGAGAAGCTAACAAACCTTGACAATCACATGGTCAGACAGAATTTTCTCTGCCTTGACAATCTGAACACTGGCTTCTTTGATCAC